AAGAAAGAAAGAAAGAAAGAAAGAAAGAAAGAAAGGAGGGAGGGAGGGAGGGAGGAAAGAAGGGAAGGAAGGACAGAAAGAAAGAAGGAAGGGAGGAAGGAAGGAAGGAAGGATAGAAGGAAGGAAGGAAGGAAGGAAGAAAGAGAGAGACAAGCAGTTTCCTTGTTCCTTCTCATAGAATTATGGAGTATTTCTTGATTTCTCTCCTCTTGAAAGCTTAAACTTTCCCCAAGCAGAATCTTTTCGTGTGCTCCTTTCCCACCAAATCTCCTCGCCCTTTTCCATTCTCCCCTCCTCACTTCAATGACAGATTTTTTTTTCCTGGAGGACCCTCACTGTTGTGTGTTTTTTTTTTAAAAAGACCCAACTCCCCCAAAGACACATTACAGGTTTTCTTGAGGGCTGCCGAACCCTCCAAGATGGAGAGGTGGGGTTTTTGGACGCGGCCGCCACACCAGAGCGAGTAGGATTCGCCAGGCCAAGGGCTCACCCTGGAGAGCAAACTCCCTTGGATTTCCGACATCGGAGCCCCTTGGCAAGGAAGGGAGGAGCAAAATAAGTTGTTTTCCTGCAATAATGATTGCCAGCCAGGTCATGCTGTGGACCTCGGCTGCGTAATTCTTGCAGCAGAGAATGAGTGGCTAACCCAGGCTTGCCCAAAAGGTATGAAGCAAGTGAGGGCCCTTTTCCCCGAAGCTTGGAAATCCAGCTTGCTTGATCATCCCCAAACTCGCTCTTCCAGCAGATCTGCATTTTCTTCTCTGCACGCCACGCATCTCCAATCTTTCCCCGAAAGCCACGTGGAGGAAATGTCCTTCGGCCAAATTGGAGCTGGCTGCAGCTGGGGGCGACCCGAATCCAAGCCCCTGTCCCCAAACAGAGCTCTTGTTTTTCGAAAAACAGGCGGTTGCGCAGTGGGACGCCACCGGCTGCCTTGGGGGAAGCTCCAAGAATTAAGACTCGCTTTGCTGGATGAGTCCAAAGACACATTTCTGGCTCGGGGTCCAAATTCTGATGCAGTTCCAGAGGCATTTCTCGCTACGTTGGTCCAGCCGCGCTGTGCACGTCCAGAGGTGGACTGCTTTTGGACAGGGAGGTTCCACAGAGAGCTTTTGAGCCAATCTCTAGGAATGCTTATCACAGAGGAGAATCAAGAGAGGAAGTTGGGTGACTTTTCAGCCAGGGCAAAAGCAGGGGAAATAATTAACCCACAACAAGCAGGGCTCTTGTTCTCCCGGGATGAGCCTTAATGGGCTTATCAAGCCAGCCAGGCACCTCCACCACGTCTTGGGGCGATGAGTTCCACAGGTTGTAATTAGGCTCCTGCAAAGTGACCTTTCCCAGACCGGTTCTGCTTCCGTCAGATCACTCTTGAACCCTGGTTTGGAAATGGGGAGGAAGAGATTTTAAAAAATCCTCCATCCCCTATGCGTTATTTAACACTTTTTCCCCCTGGTAGCCTGGATGGAGTATTTTCCACGTCCTTCCAGCTGTGACAAAGCGGGCAGGGTTAGGGTTAGGGCAGGAAGATCCTGACCTGCTCCTTGAAATGTTTGAAGTGAAGCAATAAAACGAAGAGGAATCAGCAGCGGGAATAAGAGAATCATAGAAAAGCAGGGTTGAGGGGCATTTGGGAGACCATCGAATCCAGGGTTGCTCGGCCTTAAGATGTGTGGACTCCAACACCCACAACAGGAAAAGGAATAACACACGGATGCTACTTGACCGTTGTAAAATACCGTGGAATCTACGCCAAAGAGAAACGTATCGCTTCATTTTCAGATTAGTGGGGAACAACGGGCTTTTCCAAAGCAGATAAATTGCACATATCCCAAATCCAGCAGCCGGGTCTGGTCGTGAGGGTGCTTAGCTGCTGACCCCGTTGGCCAAGGCTAATCGGAGTTTTCCCCGGATGGTCCGGGGGGCCCAGCCTTGACCTGGTTTGTGACGTTCTCCAAACAGGGTTCCACTTGTCTGGGTGACGAAGCATCTCAACCTTTGCACCCCCAGGCCCAATGAGTTTGGACACCCTCCTGGACGAAGACCGTATAAACAGAACCCTTGGGAAAGCGAGTCTGATTCTTCCTCCCTCCCTTCCGTCCTTCCTCTTTTGCCTGTTGTGGAAAACACGATGCAACTAGTGGAGTGTGCAATGCTTGGGTCACGTTGCTTGATTCCTGGTGTTGGGGCGGCCAACGGAGCACGGATGGCATGGAGTCTGGAAGGCACCCTTCTAAGTTAACATCACGGTCCCAATCCAAAGGCTTCAGCAAAAAAGTTCATTTTCCTTGCCAAAGGGTGCTGAATGAGGAGGTTTACGATTTAGGAAGACACAACACAAAAAGAGAGCGGGATGGGGAGGGAGGAGGAAAAACTCAGCAAACTTGGGAATCACTTTATACAGTTTCTGTCCCCCACCCCTGCGCTTAGGATACAGAAAGGCACAGCCTCGGGAGAAAGGCAGGTTGGGGAGGGTGTTGAAAAAACAAAATATATTTTGGGACTCAATTAATAAAGCTCTTGTAAAGTTTAACTAGAATGGGAAAAGTGGGCTCACAGCTGAAAAATCAGGCAGGCCTTCCATCCCCCAGTTTCAAAGTTTTATATCCTGGACTTCTTACTTTCTGAAAAAGAAAATAGTATATTTCTGAGCAAAGCACACACTTCACTATGTTGCCTGCTGTCCCCCCATTCTGGAAATGCCCAGAGCTGTTTGGGGGCCAATTCCAAACACCTACATGGGATAAAAGGGATTTTAAAAAAGAAAAAGAAAAAGAGAAAAAAACAGATAAATGTTGTTTGCAAGGTTGAGTAACAGAAACGGTGTGTTTGTGCAAAACCTTTGGGCAGGAAATTATAAAGCAAGATGGGCTGTTGGAAAAACTGATTGGCAAAGTCAGCGATTGAGGAAGCCTTTAGCAAGAAGAGAGTTACGATGGTTCAGCGCAGGTGGGCTGTTCCAAGGGAGAAGGATTTCGCAAGGAAGGGCGGAGGAAAGACCCTATAAAAGTGGGGACCGCTGCAAGAATCCTCAACCCACCCGGGACCAAACTCGCTCTCTTCACGATCGACGCCGGAGGTAAGTGGGAGACTTGGCGAGACTCTTGGCCAGGGGTTGGAAACCTCCCTGGATCCCGAGGCCAAAAGCCTGGGAGCGCTTAGCAAGGGCATCGAGGCAGGAAAACACAGCCTCACCAGCAAGAGCTGGAAGGGACGCAGCCCCTGATTCAGCCTTGGGACAGCTGAAAATCTGGAGGCCCTCAGCCTTGCTCCTGAAGGCTGGGTCTCAGGAGAAAGCAGTTTCCTCTCCTTGATGGAGAAGCATGAGGACTAGAGCCTTTACCTCCAGGGGAACGGCCACGGCTCCAGAAGGAACGTCGAAGGGCCAACGAGGGTGCAGCAACGACTCGTTCGGTCTTCTTCACAAGTCCACCCCCTTCCCAAAGCTAGGGATCCTCTCTTAAGTCCTTTCAAGGTCTCTCCTTACGAACCAGCTGTCCTGTGGGATGGTGTCAGGCCCAGCCCAAGAACAGCGTTGAAAGAGGCCAGTCAGTCCAGTCCAGTCCAGTCCAGTCCAGTCCAGTCCCTTTATCAGCTTACATCTTATAGACAGAATCTTGCCAGACTCAATCTATACTAGAGCAACTAGTGGATATACCCTGGGGGCTTCTAGGGAGTGGCTATCCTGAATCTCTTTCTCTTCTCATGCTCCTCCCATGGACTGTGTTGCCGCCTTGTCCCCCCTCCTGGAATGCACCCCCTCCTTCCTGATAGCCTTGATCTCCCACGTCCCTCTCCTCCTTGTAGATACATTCCATCACAGATGGGCACCCGTTACTGCCCAGGTGCCAGTAAAGGGGAAAGAGCCTGGAGGCGGTGGCCAGGGTAAAAATCAGGACGGGCTCCTTGTTCTATCTTGGAGTCTGTCCGATCTCTTTTCTAACCCTCTTTCCTGCTTCACATCCTGGGGGTGACCAGGAGAGGCTGGAGGTTGGTAGAGCAGCCAGCGAAGCCCGATTGATGGCCGGATCCGGCCAGAAGGCCGTGAGTGGTCCACCCCTGCTGCCAACGGGCCCAACAGAAAGGACGGGGTCATTATTATTGGGAACGGCCATGCCAGCGCCCTCCAGAGGTCTTCAATTACAACTCCCCCTTCTTTTGTTGTTATTCCTACTGGCGGGCATGATGGGTGCTGTGGTCCAAGCGTTCCGGACAAGGGCCCGATGCCCTGCCGAGGCTGATGGGTTCTTCCTTAGCTCTTCCTGAAAATCTTGGATGTTGAATTGGGGACCTCTTGAATTCTCCATCTCCAAGATGTGGCTCTTCACCAAGCCACACAGCCACAGGGCAGAAAGCCAGGGACGTGGGCTCAGAAAGGGAAAAGTTAACCTTTTTTGAGGGCTTACACCCACATTTATTTCCCTGGTATGGTCAGCATGTAACAGCTGTTTGTCTAGATTGCAAAGAGAGGGGTGGGGACCTGCGTTCTCGGTAGGAAACCCGCTGACTCCGTCCTTCGGGTATACGTTGCAAAGGTTGTGGCCATCTCGGGTTTATCTGGATCCCCCAAACTATCTCAAATTTTGAACTGCTGTCCTTGGTGCTTCGTTTTGTTTCACGGGAGTGGGCTTTCTGTTATCGATGGCTTCTGTAATATTGGGAGTTGGATAGAAAGAGGAGCCTGCGGTAAAAAATTGAATAAACAGCCAGGGCGAAATACAGTGGGCGAAACGTTTTGGACTCGGAGCTCTGGAGGAGTTGAAGAAACCAACCTTATCTTCTTATAACATTCTTATCATGTTATATCTCCAGATCAGAAGGAAAGCAGGATGTCTCTGACTCAGCTGGAAAAAGACCTTGAGAGTATCATTGACATCTTTCACAAGTATTCTATATGACAGGAACACCATGACAGGCTGTCTAAGAAAGAGCTGTCCAGGTTGCTGAAGGAACAACTTCCAAACTTTCTTAAGGTGAGAACAAACCATGTTTTTTTCCTTTGATTTTTTGCAACAGGAGCAGGGCAGGGAAAGAAAAGGGGGAAGGTAGAAAGGGGTCTCCACCACTGACAAGCGTGAAGGTCCTGGAGAACCTGGCAAGAAGTTGAGGGCATCAGGAGGAGCTTCA